TCCGCATCAAATAATAGCCCTGCCAGGTTCTTCTCAGTAGCCATTTTCAGGGCTGATACTTGGCAAAAATGACGTCGTTCAGACGACGAGAACACATTTATTTAAGTGAGGTCGGCCAGACCGACGAAAGGGGCATGGAAGGCCCCTCTTGTCCACGACTAGAAAGCTACCTGTGTTCCCAAGGTTTCACAATAGAAACAAGCCAATCCAACTGAGGTACACAATTCACCAGTGCCACAAACCAGCGGAAAAGTAAAAGTATGCGGGTGGATATTACGCTGATCGTGAGGGTGGGAGAAACTCTTGAGGTATTGAGCGATTGCTAACTATATTTAGGTATGATGCTGATAAGTAGCGCGCAACAGAGAAACGAGCAAAAATAACGCAACAGCTCGCGCCCAATTAAGAACAACGTGTGAGTCGACACAACAGACAGTGCAGGCGTATATGTGATAGAATGGTCAAGAGATAACCGATACACAACGTTACTTTTAGAATCATCTTTTGGACATGACAAGTCATCTTTTCCCGTGGGCCTCTCCAACATCACATGAATGAATGGAGCACAGCAGGCATGATGCATGATCTCCAGAACGCACGGCTCATCTGAAGCATTATTCTCATCTCATAAATTATTGTACGGTAAATTGATCGCGCCTGGCGCTGGGAGGCCGCCGTCAGGACGGGAGGGGACCGGATAACATCCGACGGTGGCTTGTCTCATCGGAACCCAATTACGTCGATTACATAGGGCCAGAGCAGGAGGGGATCGGACCGCGCCGGGGCTTAATTAAAAATTTATGCGGCGCCGCCACCGTAAATGTTATGCTGAATGGCGTGAGAGGACGTGACGCAACTGCCGCGCGCTTTTGGCGCGGGGCCGATTGCTATGCGGCCAGCGCGCCCCTAGAGACCGGCAAGGTTCCACCGTGAGCTGCGTTTTCATCTCGAACTCCGACCTCCGGCGCACGCGGCCTGCTGCGACGGCCGAGCCGCTCTCCGCCGCGGGTCGGCGCGGGTGCCGTTCATCATAAGAGCCAGGTCGTTTAGCGCCCAATCTGGAGAACTTTAAGTCGAGAATCTCTCACGTTGGTCTGCCGCGGACGGCGGGTAAAGACGGGCGGAAGAGAGGGCCTGGTGCTAAGCGCTGCGCCGTCCCCCGCAGTCATGCTCCCCGGCCGACTCTGCCGAAGCGCTGCAGACACCGCCGGTCTCTCCCCGGCGTCGGCGGCCGTCCCTCCGCGGCGCGCCGGCCCGCGGCCGCTCCCCGCGCCGTAATCGCTGGTTGACGGAGTGCAGAAGGCGCGGCTGGGCGCGCCTGGTGCGCCGGCGGCGGCGGCGGCGCCACAACAATGGCCGGCCACCTGCTCCGGCCGCGCCGCGCCTGGGAACGCGGGGCGCGCCGCCCGCCCGCCCGCCCGGGGACCGACCCGCCGCTTCGGGCCGGCTGGCGGTGGGAACGGCGAGACCGTGGGAGCCGCGGGCGAGCCGGCGGCCGCCCGACTGACGAGGTCGCCGGCGGTGCAAGCTGGCCGCGGCCGGGACGGCATCGCAACTCGTCCTCCGCCAGCCGCCGGTTCCTGCTGACTCGCGGAGGGGCAGAGTCCGGCTGCGGAGGGCGTCACAAGACTCTCTCCCGACCGTCATCCGCTGACCGCCGGCCAGCGCTGTAATGGCCCGGCGACGGCCGGGGGCTAGCCGGCTCTCCTGGCGTTCCGCTGGTGGTCGGCCGCGAGCGGCAATCAGATAAAAACACGAACAGAGGCTCCAGCGGCCCTCAGGCTCTGGGGAACATCATGTCAGGCATGCATCACGGACAAGCCTGTGTTTTACATTCCGAGTGGAGCCGGTGGCGACTTCGGAATCAATGAAATTTTCGTCGTCGCTAAGGAATGAATTGCTTATAAAATTCATGTCAATCAAAGTTAAGTGAGCCTGACCAATTTAAATCATTGATGAGCCGTCTCAAAACTAAAAGTCAGGTAGCAAAGTTGATATTGTTCTGACGGGTATTTTATATATATATATATATATATATATATATATATATATATATATATATATGTATAAAATGGAGCAAATTGATTGCACTAGAACATAAACAACTTAAAATCAGGTCGCGACGTCCTCAGGCGCTCTGAGGCATCTGCCGCCATGCCCATGTCGTCACTCCGTGCTGCCATCATATGCGCAACAATATTCAGTTACATCACATCGGATGTCCGTCCTCGACGTCGAGGCTGTGGCCGCGTTTGGCCGAGGGCACCTCACGGGCGATGCCCCCGCCCGCATCGGCGGCGATCATTTGTCTCGGCCGGCGTGCCACGGCCGGCTGGTGATGGGGGCCAGTGTCCTGACCAGCGGCGGCCGAGGGGACGGGGCAGCGCCACTCCGATCCGGCACTGGGCCGGGCCGCTGCCAGGGCCGGACAAACGAACCCTCATGTCCGGATGGACAGCATGTCAGTACAGTTAGAACGCGTATTACTTCAACGGGATTGCGTGGTCGACAAACGGAAGCGATCTCTTTGGGACCATGACGCTCTGTTCTAACTTCATATAAAAACAAAGCACTGCGTTAAGCATCGATTGGGTCTTTTGTTTGTCTAAGCAATGGATTAACTTTTTATCACCTTTATCCTACCCGCGAACCGCGATGTTGTCCCAAAAATCGACGGTCGAAATAGTTACATCTCCGATTTTCGTATTAACCCAATCGCGTTTGTCTTGTTTGTAGGTCGCATCCTTTTTCAAGCAGTCGACGTCCAAACTGTGTATGTGGCGTCATTTGGGACTCTTGCACCAAGATGAACACTGGCGGCTGTGCTGTTTGATGCACAAGGACGCCGCGAGACAGCTGCGACTGCCAAAAGACCCTCCAGCACCAACAAATATCATGATCCAGATCTAGCACAACAGCAAGTTTCTGGCATTCGTGCCGTTCGGCATATGGTCTGATTGCGTTGGGATTGTCGAGATATTCTTTACATACGTTACAAAAACAAGACAAAACAAAACCGCATGCCACTCTCCGTCGGTCGTCGATGTCTGGTGAGGGGATGATGCGCAGCTGGGGGGAGAAGCCCTGTACGACACTTGGTCGCGGGGGGGGGGGGAAGGCGAGGGGTGGGACGGAGTAGAGCGGCAGGGGCAGGGGCGCGCGGGTCAGGGGACGTCACCGGGCCGGCGGTGCGCTGGCGCGGAGGGAGTCCCAGGTTCGCCCGGGGCCGCACGTAACTCGGTTATCCGGTCCGCTCGTTAGGTGAGCAAACAGACGCGTGATTGGCGCGCGGCGCGCCGCACGGCTCGACCAATCAGCAGAGCCGGTGGGCGCGCGCGTTTATTGACGCGCGATCGCTGCAGGCTCGCACACTGCCGCCAAACTCCTGACCGGGCGGTCTCACAGGCGCACACACGGACCCACCGACAGCAGGGGGTCCCACAGGCCCCGGCACGGCCCCGCGGACAGCACCAGACTGGATCAGCTCTCACATTGGCACACGCTCCGAGGCCGCGCGACCGTGCCTGGAGCGGGGCTCGCATTCTCAATCACACGGACTCCCGACTTCGCACGACGCGCCGGCAACGCAATCTTCAGACGCCCGCAACGCAGCTGCTCAGGTGGAAGGCTACCTGACCCGGACAAGCCGAGGCACGGCAAGTTCAGGCTCAGCTGACGGCGGCAGGGGCAGCCACAGCTCATGATCAGGCTTCAGGCACTGTCTTGTACGCAGCATTGTTCAACGGTAAAAAGGGCACATTGTCGTCCGTATCTAAAACACGCGCACGCCCGATGGCGCCCCACCCAGCACCCGGGAAGACCATATGTACAGGACATGTATAAAAATACGAGTCGCGCCGACCTCGTAAATACGGCGAAGGCACAAGACCGTGTCGGAGACAAGGCTGACTGACAACCACTCCTGGGGCTTCAGAGACCGAGTTGAGTGCGGAAGCAAGGACGCTCTGAGTTGGTACGGTGACGCGAATAGAACGACAGCAACAACACGTCGTACCAGATACGGGAAGACTGGAAGTCGTTCTACGGGTGAAATCGCTCGGCAAAGAGGTCCCGCTGTCACCACTGTGATCCTCGAACCACGATCCTCTCCGCGGATTATCATCGCCCTCCTGCAGACAGATCACGAGGCGCCGTCCAGCCCAGCTTGCCTTTTCGCAGCGGTGGCGAGAAGCGTCCCCGCTGGCCACCGGTAGCCGGATTGGCGGGGCTTTTCTGACGAAAAGCGCCACAATCCACCATCCGGTCAGGCGCCGACCGAAACCCAGCTGCTGACGCGACCCGGGCCGACGGCCGGCGGCCAGGGACATCCCGTCATCATACGAGGCCTGACATGTCACCGCTGCGCCGATCACCGAGGCCCGACATGTCATTGCTGCGCCGATCACCGAGGCCCGACATGCCATCGTTGCGCCGATCACCGAGGCCCAACATGTCTCCGCTGTGCCGATCACGGAGGCCCGACAAGCGACCGCTGCGCCGATCACCACCCGCCGTGTTCAGAGCCGACCTCAGACGGGCGCTCCAGCCCACCTCCGGCGGATACCAGGCGCTGCCCACCAGGCAGCCGAGGCGGACGGGCTCGGCGCCGGTCCCAGCAACAAAACCTCGGGAATCGGGCACCACTGGTGCCCCAACACCGGCGCGCGGATTAGCCAGCACCGTCGCTGGCACACGGCCCAAGCACCATCTCTAGACGCTCAAGGCACGCGACTCGATCTGTCATCGAGTGTCGGCAGTGTGCGAGGAACGACCATCGATTCGTGACGTCACTGGCTCCGATTGCAACATGTTATTTGACGGCAACGGCTCCCACCATGCCGAAATCTGGCGTCACTGGTTCTCGTCATACGCGCCACCTGGTGCCACTGGTGCCAGACGCACCGAACCATCAGACGCCACTGGCGACTATAACATGTCACCCAGGTCACGCGATCGCGACGTGGCATCCGAGGCACTGCTGCCGACCATGACGCTGACAGATGACGTCACTGGTGTCCCGCACGCCGCGCGGCTAAACGTCGCTGGTGCGCAGTTCGACCAGCGACATCTCCAGCGGGTTCTGCAACAGAGGGGACCGCGTCAGGCAGCCCGAGCGGCGCCGCCGATCAAGCGGCAGAGTCGGCCGCTGTCGCCGCACGGGGCGTACCACACGCGGCCGCCCGCGCCCCCGGAGACAGCGTTAGCGTGTGAGCAGCTTCACAGCAAGAACGCCACCACTTCATGCGCGGTTATAGAGTGAGCTCACCGCAGTCGTTATCAGCGGCATGCTCGGCGATTGCTGAAGATCAGGTAAAAATACACAGATGACTGGATAATTACTTGAAATGCGCCATCATACGCCTAAAATACGTTTCATTGCCCAAGCACTCTGCTTTGCGAAAGAACAATGTTGTCAGTACTAGAAGCAGTTTAAATATCTTACACGGAGGAAATAAATTACACCACTTCAGAAAACATACATGCTTGTTTGGCTGTAATTTGATAAGACATTGAAATATGTACCTAATGCATAAACGCGACGGAAAGATGTGAGAAATGCAAGTGACACCAGCCTAGCAGATAGTTACAACGCATTCTTCACAGAATATGGCGTCAAAGCTCTTGCAAGGCATAATAAAGACTGGGGCTAAACGCATTCTAACTGGTGGCTACTACTACCACTTCTACTACTCAGCTTCTGGTAGCATGTGCTTCGATCAGCTTCTAACCTTTACCAAAAAGCTGACCAATGTGTCCCAAGAAAGCTGCTCGGATGCCCACTGCAAGATCTACCGTCGTGCACACACTCGCTAACGTGTCGCCGCGCCTTCCACCACGAGGGGACAATCATGCGAAACCAGCTAGTCCGCCACCCACACCCATCGCTGTCCTCGCTACGCCCAGCGGACAGCCGACGACAGTGCGGCAGTGATCGACGGTGGGCGAGGACACCCCAGGTCACCGGTGCTGGCCATGCCCGTGGGGTGACAGCGTGTGCTCGGGATCGGACAGGGTGTGTCTGCAGTCATCCAACTCACGTATGCCCAAACGCCAGGTCAAAATGCTGAGTGGCATATGTGACATCTTAAAGTGTGATGCACATAACAGCCATCCAAAAACCGGATCCAGCCCAGATCCATGAGCGTCCAAACCACGTCGTACTATCAGAAAGATGGGAACTGGATTGTACACATATAGGGTGTGCTAGCCGCATGAATCCTTACTTCGTGTAGCCCAGCGATGTGCAGCGTGCAATGTGGAAGCAAAGCCATAAGCGCTTCCAAACGTTTTAAATTGCGGCAGAGATTTCTCCATTCTAGCCAAATCGCGCTGGGGATCCTTATCGCGCAATTCAACGTCATGACCGCCCACCCACGGCAAGGATTTCCTTCATTATTGGGGAAACACGATCGCCTTCCTTGAGGCTCGAACCCCTGACCGCAGCCGATCCCGCTCGGTAGTCTGACCTGCCCTCAATCTGACGACGGGAATGACACAGTATCCTCATAGCTTTACCTCAGCCCGAACTACCAGCACAACATTTGCCCCAGCGTGACCCACATGGCATCCTAGTGATCTTGGTGACCCGCTTCAATGGGAGGGAGCGACTGCGGTGCTAATGACTATAGAAGTTGCATGCACTGCAAAACAAACCGCACCAAACCAAGCAAGGGAGACACGCACAGAATGTCCTCCAAACCCTGACCCACAGCAAGACAACGTAACACTCTTGACCATGCCGGAACATCAACAGAAGGCACTCCAGATAGATGGCTGGGGACTATGGACTACCGCACCACGCCAAGCACAAAACACACTCCCCAAGCCACAAACACCGACACTACAGCTCGAACCACACGGTTACCGTTCACGGCTTGGCTCCGACGGGGCCGAAAGATGGCGCTGGCTTCTGCATGGGCACGGAATAGAGCGGCGTCACCGGACCAAGCGAGCTGAGGCCAGCCCGGCGTCCCGGTCCCCACCCGCCAGCACAGTCACTCGGCGCCGGCCTCGGTGCCCAGGTATGGCACAACACCTGAACGGCCGGCGCGTACTGCACCACAGCCAGCTGGGGTTCAACGGTGGGGCTGATTATGGTCACGTCCCTTACGGCTGGATAGCAGCTGGACAATGCTCCCATACTTCCCAAACAGGCCTGTCGCGACACATTTCAGCAGTCTTACACAGCCCGCCGTTCTCCCTACAATGAAAATATACACTGCGATCCACGATCAACAGGGCGGCCAAAGCTAACTCGACCAAGCGCAGTAATGATCCAACTCATCCTCTTCGCAAGACATCACCGGCAGCCTAGCAGCACGTGGCCGGTGACGGCCCGGGCGAAGCGCCCTCCTCAGTGAGTCGGCAGCCGCCGTCAGCGGAGAGCGCGGGACGGGGCGGCGCGCGCGCACCCACCTGGCCGCTGGCGATGTCCGGAGACGACAGCGGCGAGCCCTGCACGTCCACCGGGCAGAGGAAGTCGTCGCCGTCCGACTCGGCCTTGCCCTTGCGCCGCTTCAGCGTGAACTGGCCCCGCTTGTGCAGCTGCTCGGCATGGAGATACCGCGTCAGCTCAGCGACCGACCGCGCACGCCTCTGGCACGCGGGCGACACGGATGGGACCGGTGCGACCAGGAAACAAACGAGTCTCTCGTGCACAACCCGCGCTTTTAACTTAACATCCGGCGCTGGCGCCAGGAAAGGCCGTGCCTCGATGACCGACAGTCGTGCTCACCTTGACTTTCGAGTCGGTCCGCAGAGGCGTGATGGTCTGGTTGTCTTCGACCTCTCTCTTCTCTCGGAGGATTTCCGAGCCGACCAGATCGTTGAACCTGCCAAGACGCGCTTGCCCGTCAAACACGTCGTCATGGGAGACATGGAACGCGACAGCTCGCAGCCGCTGCGAGAGTGAACAGCGCACTGGAGTAAGAACCAGACTTATATCAATGGACCCGGAACCTCATCATACAGTAGTCGGAACTGAACGGGATGCTGCATTTGAGGGCAAGGAATCTGACGGACTGAAGTCAAAGCCTCGCAGCTGCAGCGGCGGCCCAATCTGCGCCGTCTTCCTGTGACGAGACAGCCCGCACCGGTGCGGCGCCTTACCTAGTGAACAAGTGTCTCCGAAGCAGCGACTTGTTGGCCGGGATGGACAGCACGGAGGCCATCAGCTCGCCGGTGAACCGGGGCTCGTACACCAGCAGCGCACCGTGCACCCCTGCCGAAGTCAACACGGGCTCACAGCGCGCGGATAGGCGAACCGGGGCTACGGACTGCAGAGGGTCACAGCGCCCCGCAGCCGCCAGTGAGACACCGCACACACACAGGCCACCAGACGCCGAGGAGTCAGAGGGGCTCGCGTTGTCCCCGAAACTGACACCAGAGGTGGGTACCACGCGCAAACACTTATTACTAGCCAAAGCACACAGACTGCCCCCCCCCCCCCCCCCACACACACACATTTCGCCCTGCCACACACCCACACAGTGACGAGCAGCACCGCACCAGGTAACCCGTCCGGCTCGGTCCGCCGATGTACGTCCGGCCGGCCGGCCGGCCGGCCGGACGGGCGGGCGGCCGGACGAAGCACACACACCTGAGCCGCGCATGTTGGGCGCGTACTCGGCCAGATCGACCTCGCGCAGCCACTCCATGACGCGGTGGTTGGTCCAGAGCGCCACCTCCTGCGGCGTCGGCTGGCGCGGCTCGTCGGGCGTCGAGCGCCGCCGCAGGCAGGCCGGCGAGAAGCCGTTCAGGCGCAGCACCTGGCGGTGACGGGCGAGCGCGCCCCCTCGTGATCAAGGCTGCGTCACGACAGCACGGCAGGAAGCGAGGGACACACACACGTGACTATAAGCGGGCGCCTTCCGATATCGGCCTTGAAGCGCCTCTCGAGTTGTTGATTAATTAATATAGAAATACTATCCTTCAATGAGTACCAACTCATCCCAGTCACTATCGTCTTCGTTCTAATCATCGATTTGCGTGCAGTTCCATACAAATATAAGCAATAAAATACAAATACAAATACAAATACAAATATAAGTACTTAGTCCCACGATTACCGCATTCGACAGCAGTCCAGCTGCAGCAGAATAAAACCAGGCATATACCAATGATAAGAGAATGCGACGGAGATCCGAACACGGCGTCACGCACACATCCGTTAGCCAGAGCCTCCACGACAGCGGAGCGGCCAAGCCGGGCACGCTGGGGCCGCTGGGCGTCGGAGGGGGCCGTCCTCAGGGCCTCACCTGAATGCCGCGCTTCAGACTGAGAGCGTGCAGCAGGTTCGTGACCTTGAGCGTCTGCAGGTCCTCCAGCGTCAGCTGGTTCAGCACGCGGCCGTCGACGCGCGCCTCCAGGAAGGCGTCCTTGTACTGGGGCAGGCCGACGTCGTCCAGCCAGCGCATCACAAAGTTGTGGTCGATGTGGCCGGGCGGATCGTCGGTCGCGGAGCCGGCCGCGCTCAGCGCCAGCACCACCTTCTTGCGGTGCAGCGGGTGCTGGCGGCGGACGCACGAGGTCAGGGGCACGGGACCCGAACTCAACGCCAGCGCCGTCTATTTACGGCGTGGCGGGTGCTGGCGGCAGACGCGTGTGGACTATCGCACCGTTATGCCTCGCAGGACACTGCGGTGACGCGCGCACGCACGCGCAAGAGGTCAGCAACTGCTGGCCATTAAACACAGTGCGATCTCGTCACATGACAATAACTAAGCAGCAAATGCGACTTTCTGGCGCCTCCGAACCTAAACACCCACACATCCAGATAGTGCGAGGAGATCATCCGATCCAGGCCAAATGCTTCAACGCTACATCGTAGGCGATCAGGAGGGCGTTCCCAGCTGGTGACCAGCCCCGAGCCGAGCAGCTGGGCCGGGCTCCGCACTGCCGGCGCGTACCTTGAGGCCGAGCTCCTTCTCCAGCTCGGCGCCGGTGGCGCGCAGCAGGTGGCTGCCAGAGCGGACCCAGCGGCGCACCTCCGCGGTGTAGGCGCTCAGGCCCATCTCGTGGAACCAGCCGACCACCGTGTCCGTGTCCCACTCGGCCAGCGGTCGCCAGACGCGGCTGGGGGCGCAGGCGGACGTGCCGTCACGACCAGCGAACAGTCGCTGGCGGGCGGCGGGCGACACCCCGGCGCCACGCGGTCACGCGGTGGGCCTGATCAAGGCCGCCAAACCAAGAACGCCATACTCCAGTAGTGACGGAAACCAGCTCGCGGCGGCACACTAGCCTTCCAACGGATCTCGAGAACGGAGCCGCATCTCCGCAGCTCTGCGCGCCGTTGGCTCGGCGTATGACACACGGTTCCAGGATGCCCGCGGTCGACCCGGACCGTAAGCCCCAAGGCACAGACACGCCGACGCCGCGCTCGGCCGCCGCCGCCGGCGCAACTCACTCGTCGTCGCGCGACCTCTCGCCGCCCCAGCCCAGCCGGGGGCCGGCCGTGGCGCGCGTGCCGCCGCGCCGGAACTCGCCGCCGTCTGGGATCTCCGGCTCCAGGCCGCCCGAGTTGCTGCGCTTCATCCTGCCGGGAGCAAGTGGCGGGAGTGAGGCGCAACACGCCCGCTACACGGCAGCCGGTCGGCGACGCAGCGACGCTGGTCACGGGCACAGGCCGGGGCGGGGGGAATTGGTCACGGGCACAGGCCGCAGTGGAAGGGGAGGGACCTGGGCACGGGCGTAGGCCGGGGCAGGGAAGGACCTGGTCACGGGCACAGGTCGGGGTGGGAGGACTCGGTCACGGGCGTAGGCCGGGGCAGGGAAGGACCTGGTCACGGGCACAGGTCGGGGTGAGGAACTCGGTCACGGGCGTAGGCCGGGGCAGGGAGGGACCTGGTCACGGGCACAGGTCGGGGTGGGAGGACTCGGTCACGGGCGTAGGCCGGGGCAGGGAAGGACCTGGTCACGGGCACAGGTCGGGGTGGGAGGACTCGGTCACGGGCGTAGGCCGGGGCAGGGAAGGACCTGGTCTCGGGCACAGGTCGGGGTGGGGGACTCGGTCACGGGCGTAGGCCGGGGCAGGGAAGGACCTGGTCACGGGCACAGGTCGGGGTGGGGGACTCGGTCACGGGCGTAGGCCGGGGCGGGGAGGGACCTGGTCACGGGCACAGGTCGGGGTGGGAGGACTCGGTCACGGGCGTAGGCCGGGGCCGGGGACCTGTCATGGGCGTAGGCCATGGTGGGATGACCTCGTCATTCACAGACACACGCCAGGGCGGATGACCTGGTCACTCACAAACACAGGCCGGGGCGGGGGAAGACCTGGCCACGGGCGCAGGTCGGGGCGGCGGCGATGCTGATGGACGTCAACTAACGACGGGGCGTGGGCTGGCGGCCCGCAACACTCGGCGGCGCGTTAAAGGTGGGGTATGGGTGACGCTGCAACCTGGTGCAGAGAAAATATCAGAAGTCTTCATACATGGCGAAAATACGATGACGGTAGAAGGTTTTACGGTAAGTCGGTTACTCCAGTACATGTGAGTTTCCGCCACTTGGATTCAGAGGACGACGGTGGTGGTAGCGGTCTCATGACAAGTCAGTGAGTGGCAGCAGTACTATGCTCCGGCCATATGGGAACAGAGAGCGGGAGGGGGGGGGGGGGGGCCACGACGGCCGACACCTGTCCAGGCCCGGTCGATAGCGCGAGCCGCCGCAGCGCCGCCGCCGTCAGTCCGCCCGCAGGCTATCAGCGACCCCCAATGTCAGCACATGCGTCTGGTACCCAATCGATGCTCCCTCAAAACGGCGGGAAGCCCGAAGCGGAAAGGTCACTGGCGAACGTCACTGGCTGATATGCTGCCGATGCGCTGTTGCCTAGGCTCTAGAACGACCTCTTCCATCGCCAGTAGCACGAACTGTGGAGGAGAGCAGATGCCGGGAGCTAGGTCAGTAATGTCCCATGGCGCGTTACCTTCCGAACAGCTTTTTGAAGCCTTTGTTTTTGTTCTGCGTGCTGGGGGAGTGTGGTCCGCCCGTGACGTCATCGGTGGGACTGTTCGGGATCGGCTGATCGGAGTCGGCTGAAAGCAGAACCGACCGTGAGCGGACAAGCCAACAAAAACATCCGGCCCAGCGGCGACCTACTGCAGGCGATCAGCGCAGCAACAGAGGATGGGGCCACATTACACGAGTTAGAACGCACACCAAAATGCATTTTTTTAGCTGGAATTTCGCAACAATGATATACGCGACACGGTGTACATGAAACACTATTTTGCAAATACCGAACGTAAGTCAAAAATGTTTTTGTGAGGCAACTTGCGCGAACAAAACTTGTTACTGAACCAATAGCACTAAAACTACGGCGAAACATACGCTATTTGATGTAATACACACAGGGATGCAAAATAAAGAGCAACATCGTGCAAAATAAGGCGCTAACAGGGATGCAAAACACAGGACAACATCGTGCAAAATAAGGTGTTAGTCAAAACATGCCAACGTGCACAACAAATGCGACAACGATCGTCGCAATTGGATCTTATGCTAACAGCATTCACCGCAGATTTGTGCATTCGTAGCAGAAATACGCAACCTAAACATTCCATCCGTGCCACAACCAATGCGAAAACCATCCACGGGTCTTCCGGTCTGTTCACACCTCGCGCTGTTAGCTGCAGAATCCGCCGCAGATTTTACAGCCAGTCGGCTCTTGCATACTAGAAGTGTCACATTCCAGCCGGGAAGCTCGCAAATCAGTGGCGACGAGAGCTCAAAAATGACATCTCTCTAGTCTCCAGCACTTAAGTATGAACGCTTAACACCCGCACTATCTGCTCCGGCTCCTGCGGGATTCGGCTGCTGTGGACTGGAGGCACACTTTTGAGCTCTTCTTACTCGCGCTTCGAGGGTCGGCGGGTTTGAATGTGGCACCTCCGGTCCACAACTGCAGACTGGCAGAGCAGTTTGTGGCGAATTGTGCAGCCAGTCCGCCGGTGTGAACGGACCTGCATACTTACAGCATTCACGCCAGCTACCGCAATCAAATGCCCAAGGTCGGCATCCAAGCCTGTCTAAAAGTTCACACACGTTCAAACAAAACAGAGAATCCTCCAGCCTCGTGCGAGAGAGAGTGCAGACTCAGTGCATGTGCAGCTACGCCGGACCGGCCAGGACGCCGCCCAGCCGTGCCAAGCGAAGAGTCACGCAGTCGGGCCGGCCGGCCGCGCCAGGTCAGTCACAGCTCGGCAGGCCAGCGTCGAGGCGCGCCGCCACCTCCGTCACCTAGATTGGGCGTCGACGAGCTATACTTTCCCGTCACCCGCTCCCAGAGGCGGCGCGTCGGCTGTTTACCGAAGGCGACCGCACGCCGCTGACTGTCGGCGGCGGCCGAGGCGCGCGGCAGGGTGCCGCCCAGCGACTCCACGCGCCGGCGATGCGACGACGGCGGCGTCTGCAGCGACGGGAATGACGTCAGCGGCCACGGAGATGACATCAGAGGCCACGGCTGGCACGATCCGTCACAGTACAGTGCAAAGCGTCTGGGCGGCACCGCACGGGATAACGCACGCCACGTGACCGTAACCGTGCGCAGTCAGGTTGTCGGCAATACGTGCGGCGTACAGGCGTGAATAAACGGCACGTTGAAGTTTTGAGACAAGACGTCCACGCCGTCAGTGGCGGAGGCGGGTCGCACCTTTGGTAGCGATCCTTCCCGGCAGGTGGCGGGGTGCATGCCTGTCGGAGACGAGTTGTCCTGTGCCGAGGCGTACCGGCTGCCGTCCGTGGCGCTCGATGACGACTGTCAACCCCCGTGGGTGAAATATTAAATGACTACAAGACACAGGACTACAACTACAGTACTACAACCGTAGGTGAAGCATTACTGGACTACAAACACAACACTACAACTACAGGACTACAACCGTACGTGAAGCATTGCAGGATTACAAAACACAAGACTACAACTACAGGACTACAACCGTAGGTGAAGTATTACAGGATTACAAAACACAAGACTACAGCTACAGGACTACAACCGTAGGTGAGGTATGACAGGACTACAAAACACAAAATACAACTACAGGACTACAAGGTACGACGAAATCGGTCAGTTCACGCAATTGACACAGCCGATACTGTTTCGTAAGGCCTGCCATGTAGTACATGCTGACGAGGTGTTGGCTGGGGAGCAGATCCATAGACACCAGCAATTGCAAGCACCAGCAGACGGCTGTTCGATTATTTGCACTACACGGGGGCCGACCGCAGCCATGAGCGAAATGAAGACATTTGACAGCACACCATCCTCCCCCTTCGGGCAGCGAGCGCAACTGCGTCGGAAACGTCACCCGACACCGCCCTTAATCGTCGCCGTCACGTGACCCACACCGCCCGGACCCAGCTGGTAATCACGCACGTTGAGTCGCTGCGGTGAGTCGAGCATGCTGTGGTTGGGCGTGGAGGTGGCGGCGGGCAGGCTGCCCCGCGGCACCAGCGGCGGCCTTGTCGCGGATCCGACCCCGCTCCTCGCTCTGTGACGGCAGATGCCAAAACGACTTGAATTAAAGGCCCTCAGCACCTGGCAGGCTGGCTGAAGAATTCTCCCCAGACTCTGCGATCGCTAGCTGTTGCCGACTGGAGATGCCACTTTTGAGCTTTATTTGCCCACGCTATGTGGGCCTGCGGGCTCACATGTGGCACCTCCAGTCCACGACAGCTGAAACTATGGAATCTGCAGCGGCTTCTCAGCCAGTCCGCAGGGTGTGGGCGGGCTTATACACACAACCATGGACTCCGGACCCGTCCACAACCGAGGACCTAATCCCAGGGCATGGACCGCGGGAAGGGGGGGGGGGAAGACTTCACTCAGGTAAACACCGCCCGCCCGCCCTCACCACAACCCCGCCCAGCCTCCGCTGCCAGACAGGTGGCGCTCTGGCAGCCCAGTGACCAGGTTCAGTCCGCAGCCGCCGCCAGCGCGGCCCGAGCGCAGCAGCAGCGTCCGGCCGGGCGGGGACTGACCGGACGACCGGCCGAGCGAGTACTGACCGGACGACCGGCCGGGCGAGTACTGGCCGGACGACCGGCCGGGCGAGTACTGACCGGACGACCGGCCGAGCGGGGACTGAGCGGACACCCGGCCGAGCGAGGAATGACCGGACGACCGGCCGAGCGATAGTACTGACCGGACGACCGGCAGAGCGGGGACTGACCGGACGATCCGGCCGGGCGGGGGACTGACCGGACACCCGGCCGGAGCGAGGACTGACCGGACGCCCGGCAAGGCGGCTACTGACCGGCCCTGGCGGCTGCCCAGCTCGGCTCGTCGCAGCCGGTTCCGTCAGCTCGATGTTTTCCCGCTCCAGCGTCTTCTGCTGCAGCGTCAGGTTGGACATCTTGTTCATCACCTCCAGCTTCTGGGTCCGAACGAGGAGCGGTTTGCAGCAGCTCCTGCTGCAGGGCCAGGTCCTGGCGGCGGCGGAGCGGGTCAAGGCCCGATCACCGACACATGCACAGGCAGGGGACGCCGACACAAGTCTGCTGGTCACCATCCACGATCGCTCCCAATCACGACCTCTACACCCTCAGGAATGAGGCGGGAACAGGAGCGGGTCGGTGACTCGGGAAGGTCCACAGACAGCCACGCCCCAAGACTGGGCCAGAGCCGAAAAAAAGCTAGACTGTAGGTGTTAATGACATTTGAACAGGAAGACACAGATAGGACCCAGACTGATGGGGGGGCAACCATCCACCACTCATCAGCTGTTGGCGTGTTCCAGGAGAGAGCGCCAGCGAAAACGGCCAGCGTTACCCCCACGGCCACCAGTTACCTTCTGCAGCCTGTCCTCGGCCTTGCCGAGCAGCATCTGGCGCGTGCGCAGCTGGTCCTCCAGCTCGGAGATCTTCTCCGTCTGCGCGTCGATCTGTTCGGTGAGCACGGACACCTGCAGCTGCAGGGACGACTTGTCCGACTCGAGCTTCTGCGAGCCGCTATCGTACTCGAGGCCCGGCTGGGGACCGGCCCGCCGGCATCAGGTCAGAGTGTGTGATGGGCGCGGCGCCGGGTCTCGTGTCATACACGGCGGCCGCGAACCACGCCGCTCTGTTGTGCCATAGCGGCTTACCAAGCATGAAGACAAACAGGCGCCAGCGGCAAGGAAATCGATGCGTATTGCTACAAGCGTTAGCTTCAGAGCAGCGTCGACCAACATATTTTACACGATCGGTTATGAAACAACAAAAAATCACGATGCGTTGTTTTAAATGACACTTCACTACTGCAGGTAGATATTGCATGATAATATAAGCTTATAATCGTCGTTTAAATGAGACATTACTAATCTAGGTGGATCTTGCACGATAATATTGAAGAGACATTTCAAGACACGTTTGAGGTTAAAAAGATTATACTATTGCGTAATACGCCCATATGTATACATATGCACGTATACGTATACATGTAGACTATACACATACCTTTGCGTGACACATAATAAAATTCGTGACACCTGTGTTGTAAGGCATGTGGTGGTATGCGTAACAGCGTGGGGAAATAAAATACAAAACAGCGTTGCTCATAGCATACATCTGAGTGCGTTTGGTAGGTAGCGTTAAGAAGTGTGTCTATCTAGGGTGTTTATCCCTAGTGCCTATATCTAAGTGTCTTTCTACTCCGGTGTCTATCTAATTAGCCCTGTATATTACTTATGCGACTTTCCTGTTATCTACGATAACCTGGTCATGATGTACCCACGCAGCAAAATGTCGCACGGTCTATGGTACGTGCAACCCCCCTCCCCCCCCCCTAGATCCACCAAATTATGCATACAACCAGACAGCTGATCCCACCATTCATCGGAGGCCCGGCTGTCACTGACACAACACTCTACATCACATTGTCTGTGACGGCCGGGCGGCTGGGGCGGGAGGCGAGAGTGCTACAGGTGCCGGCCGGCCCTTCCCACCAGCGGCGGCTCCACACCGGCGCCGTTTCACCGGCGGCGGCGCGTGTCGACCTCCCGCCCCGGCACAATGAGGCGAACGGCCTCCACAATGGCGCGCTGGAGCTGTATTGAACGGCATCGGTATCCACCCGGACCAGACTGCGGCGGCACGGCACTCGATGACGCCGACCGCCGCGCGGGAGACTGCCGCCCAACAGCGGTCATTACAGTCGACTGGCGTACCCTGGGCTCTACCGTAACAGGCTGCTCACCTGACGCATTGAAGGCAATAGGTAGAGATTATCGGCAGCTAGCTTCGCTCGTCGCCTTGATTGCCAGCGTCTGTCTTTTCCACCGGGGATTGTAAGGAGAGGGATGTGTATGTGGGGGGGGGGGGGGAGATTACGCTGACATTCTTGCACATGCACCGACCTGTTGTTAGCCCATTGTTACAGTGGTTACCACTCCAGCCCCAGATAATTCGAAATTGTAATGAAATTGTTATGTATCCGTAACGGTTTTTGTACACTCCACTTGCCAAACTGAACGCCCCATACTCCTGAGCATCGCGCCGCGTTTAATCACCGCATCGTTTGTCGAGGTTCAAAGATACTCCCTCAGCGACCAACACTACACGATGTAAACTAGATGGATGATCTTAGGACCGCACTGAATACCAGCTCGCAAGGTGCAAGCTAACCACTTCCAGCTGGCGTGCCAATAACAGTCCGGGGGGTACACAGGTACGATGCGACGATACAACGGGATGACTTTGTGACTGGAACATAGGCTGTCGCCTAACCTATCGTATGATAGCTCTGTGGAGGAGCATTTACTTAGGCCTGTGAGCTGGTCAGGAGGAGGCGCCTGATGTAGGCTCTCAAAATTCCTAAATCATGCATTTTTACGCCACGCGCCAACCACTTCCCCACAAAATACCAGGTGACCCTAGAGCTTCACTAACAGCCGTGAGTTGGCTCCGAGGCGTGCGGAGACTCTGCTCCAACTGGCGACCGATCAGAGCCGTCCGCCGTTCGTGTCTCGTCCGTTCATCCCTCAGTAGGGCACAGCCGGCGCGAGGGCCGGGTCAGGCGCCGCCCGCCGTCCGGGCGGCACGCTCCAGTCCGTGCGGGAGACGCGGGCCGAGCCGACGCCACCTGGTCCGGATCCTGTCTGTGCCCCCGAACAGCAGGCTTGGTGACGAGGCATTCGAGACATGCCGTCAGCACCAGCCTGTGCAGCCAGCCGGGAACTAGCCGGAGTACGGAGCACAACGACTGCATTGCCTGGCACGAGCCGGCAACAAACAATGGTCGGCTACGGTGAGGTGTGAAACTGAATACAAGCGAGTGGCGGGGCGGCGTCTGCGGCACGAGCCAGCCGCCATGTAATCGGAGCGGCGCGCTCACGCCGGATGGTTCCGCGACCAGGCAGCGCGCTCGGGCTCCGGTCGCCCGCCCGCAGCGGCCGCCCACTCTGCCGGACGAGGGTCCATCCGCGACTCAACTAGTCGAATGCCCTTCACTAAGTGTGGCTCTCACAATCCACAACAGAGTGTGACCGTATTCCTCCCTTTGGCGCCTGGTGGCTGCTTGGCGCCAGGGCCGCTGAGGTTTTCTATCGCTACCTGCAGCCGGCCCAGCGGTGCCGGAGCGGTCTGTCCAGACTCAGCGTGCTAGTACGGTCGTTGACGCCCTGATATCACTAGTCAGCAACTTGGCGGGGTCCCTAATGATCACCGTGGATTCTGAGTGTGGCGTGCTGCATTCTCACCCAGACAGCACCAGCTTAGTGCGTCAGCCTCCCACTTTCAGTGCCAACAGCCTCCTGAGACTGTTGCCTGCTCCACAACTGTCGGCCCGCTGGCAAGTGGCCGTCGCAGCCTGCCCCACCAGTTCTGCGACATCTCGGCCCGTTGGTTTCGCGCCCCGGACACCGCAGCCCGATGACAGCTAGTGGGCGTCCGTTTGCGTTCGGAGCCGCCCCAGCGGCGCTCGTCTCGGTCGCGGAACGGGCCCGGCCCGAAATAGTGGCGCCGCATCAGGACAGGCGGCGGCCCGTTGGCCCCCGTCCCTCTGACGGCCGGACGTCTCTGGCACGGACGCGGCTCGGCGCTGACGCCGTGTCGTGTTCTGTCAGCCGGGCCGCGAGCGCACGACACGACAGCGCCCGGGCGCCACCGGCACGGATCGTCACCCAGCGGGCGCCGTGCGACCCGGCACGGCACGCCACGGCACGGCACGGCACGGCACGGCTGCTGACCTCATCCGGTGACACCACCGCCGCGGGACCCCGCCTCGTCACCGGACCCGAAACACAAGCCGGCGCGCGTCTGTGAGAGCAAGGCATCACAGTGCCCGTGCCCGAGGTAATAGTCGTCTCGGCACGACAAAACTATGGCGGAGAACATTTTGCACATCCATCGGCCGTCCCAGCAGCCGTGTCCCGGTTCGGGTCGGTGGCGTGGGCGGGTGACACCTCACCGCCTCTGGAATCAACAGCGGCGCCACGCTGGCAGCCGGCCCCGGCCCCTCCGCCGGAGCGCCGGCGGACCGCGCGCTTGAGCGGGGGGGCAGCGGCCTCCGACGTCACGGGCCGACACGTGCGGCCCGGCCGGCCGGCGGCCGTCGCGGGAGCAAACCATCCCCGCCCGCGGCTGGCGGCACACGCGGGTCGACGCCGGCCAGTGGCGGGAGGAGCCCAGCGTCGACACTAGGTCGGCGGCCTCCGCGGCGTGGCCGCATGCGCGCCGCTCCTGTGACAGGCCCCGGCGGCCGCCGCTGGCCGTCGTCCAGCGGCCTGGTCACAGCAGGCGCGGCCTCGTGAAGTCGGTCGGGATCGGACGCGGCGGTCGGACGCTCGGCCCGGTACCTCGCTCCATTGCCGCTTAGTTCGGTAGTTGATCTACGCACGCATCAGCTGGGACGAGGCGACGCCACTTCCCGTCCAACGCGCGGCTGGCGAAAGCTACCTGCGGAGGGAGTCGAACCTGCGCCTCTCACTCCACCAGCTGACGCCCCCATCACTCGGCCGCTCAGGCCCACAGCCCGGTGAGCAGAGACGCCTGCTAGGCACCGGTAAAAAGTGCCCCGCCCGCGCCTTGGCATGGTGAAACGGTGCGAAGTCTGGCGATCTTCCATGCCGCCCTCTCGCATGAAAAACTCCTGTCGAGGAAGCCCGTACACGGTTTGGCCTTCGGCTTGGCTCCAGCCGTCAGCGCACAGCATCAGCGAACCGTTCGAGGCGCTCTTAGAAGAGGCTGGCTCAGCTTGTCAAACACGAGCCCCGGGCGGATTATTTTCAGACCTTTGATGTGTTTCTTTGAACGCGGGGCATTCACACAGAGATGAGATAAAACGAGTGAGAACACTCATGTTTCCTTCCGACTGCTGCACGCACATCGGTTTACGCAGCCTTCCCTGAACGACGGGGGGGGGGGGGGTCTCGATCCA